ACAAAAGGAGGCCAGCCAAAAGGATTTTAAGTGGAGGAGGGGGCTAGCAGCAAACCTAACGGTCCAATAAGAGAAAGGGTCGCACTTGGCTCCCGTCACTCTGAGCAGCAGGACCCGGGGCCCCCCCCTGCTCGCCCGCCTGCATGAGTCTGCTCAGCATCTGCTCCGTGCATGAGGCCAGTAAGGCTCTTCTCCCGTTTGTGCAGAAACGTTAGCCATTCGCCTCTCCAGGACAGAGTGCCCGAGATGACCCATGGGCTTTCTCTTCGAACCGCAAGCGTGCATGCCAGCCAGGGAGAGGAAGGGGACCACGGGACAGAGCACTACCCCAGCGTGGCTGCAGAGGAAAGTCGCTAACCATATGTTTCAGGGGACTTTGGGGGACCCCTGAAGTGACTCATTGAAAGCATGTCTGTCTGTAAGACCACAGGGACTGTTCTAAAATAATTGTCATTATGTGTTCTGTGGTGACTCATGACAGTTCTGAGCAGTTCAGTTGAGTACATTCTCCATGTTCTGGAATAGGGCAGGTGAGGTCTCGGGTATGATAGATTCACAAAAGGTAACTCGGGTTCTCTGTGCTGAAAACTCCTCTGGTCAAAAATGATTCACCAACAGGCAAAATAACATGAAAGAATCATAGTGTTTCAGAGCGAAGAGAGGACTCAGATCCCACGGACTTCAGTGATTGACGGATGGTTTCAAAGGAGCCCCGTGAGGCCAGCAGACCCACCGTGGAGCGTGCGGGCAAAGCCTGGGGCTCTGCCTTCAGACAGCACAGCGACCACTCTATCGGCTAAATTGAGCTTCTGGAGCAACAGAGAAAATGTCAGTGGCTTAAAAAAAAAAAGCCTTCAAAACCCACTGATTTTGTCTAACTTCTTCATTTTGCAGGTACAGAAACCGAAATTCAGAGAGGGTAGGTGCTGTCCTCAAGGTCATCCAGAACATTACCAGCGAAGCAAGACCGGAACCAGCCAGGATTGTCCGCTCCCCACCAGTGTTCTTTCCATCTGCCCTCGACATCGTGGGCAGACACACTAAACCGGTGAGCGCAAAACCAGGAAGGCAAAAACAGATCTAACGACCTCTGGCCCCTGCGCCGTAAGGTTTCTGTAAGGACTAAATGAGCTCATGATCGCAAGGGCTCCGGACAGCCCATGGCGTCGGACGGAGACCGGAGTTGGTGTTTGCTCTCAGATTCTCCTAAAACGACACTTTCCTCGCCCTTCCTTCTCTTTCCCCGCTTGGTTACAACGTTCTGTCCCTGCCGACTGCCAGCCTGAAATTTACACAGGTCCACAAACCCATACAAGGAATGAAATGGGCAACCCGTGTTCTCTAGTCTGAGCCCGACAGCTGCTGGGGAGAAAATCCGATATGCGCCACGGACAAGGACTTAACGTGAGAACAATTTTACACATAATCCTTCTCCTCCCCATAGTTCTAGCCACAAATGGTTTTACCCCCACGAACCGTGTGTTCACGGAAGGGTCAGGCGTCGGCAGCAGCTGCGGGTTTTACGTTGACTTTGAAGGGAGAGGCGAGCTGACGTCCGTGTCTGCCGTGTTGAACGTACTTGGAGGAGCAGGGCTTTAGAGCAGGAAGCTCAGAAAGTCAGGAGTCCCAGGTGTGCTGGCCTCGGCTCGAGCTTGGTGTGAGCGGGCAGCCTCACATATGCTCGGGCTGGCCAGCTGCGGTGTCCCAGGGGCCGGTCTGTCCTTGTGTGTCTGTCCAATCTGTGTCTACCCCCGGCCGTAAGGGCCACTGCTCCGTTTTGCCCTCGTGCTTCCTTATCCTGACACCGACATAAACCAATCCCCCTGCCCCCTGCACTCCTTCAGCCGCCCCGGTACAAAGAAGCCACTTGCGTGACGGGCAAAAGCAAGATTAAAAAAAAAAAAAGTTTTATGTGTATCATTCCTACCACTTTGGTAACTAAAACAGACACGACAGAATTTGGGGCCCAGGCCTGAAGGGTGAAGAGCTAACATCCAGAGGTATTGTTTGCAGCACGTACTGATCTAGGTTTTATGTCAGCCAAGCCCCTTCTCATGATACCTTCTGACACTTGACAAGAGAAGACAAGAGAGTCATCTCCTCTCAGTTATAGTTCTGACGTATGGCGTTTCGGGTGTTTTCTGTTTGTGACACACGCTTCGCAGTGCCCTAAGGAGCATCCGGTTTAAAATGAACAAAGGATGAACATTTAGTAACATTTGAAGTTTGGCTCAGAAAGTTAAAAATTTTAAGAATAAAAATGCATTCCCTGAAGGTGAAAAATCAAAGAGTAAACAGATAGCATCCCTCACCAGAAGGGAAGCGGTCTGGGTTCGTAGGCGATGATGAATAAGACACCTGAAGATAGGTACGCTGTACGAGTCAGTGAAAAAGAGACAAGGGAAAGGGTTTGTTTGGTTCAAGGAGGACAGTTAGTGGCAATCCAGGAGGTAAAAAGGAACCAGGGAAAAGGGACAGTAAGTCTGATTCAGAAGGACAGGGAGTGGAGGGCGTTACTATAGATTTCGATTCTGGACAGTATTGATTTTCTGTCTTCATTTTTCCTTGAGAATTAACTCCCAGAGCCTCTCCACGAACATATACGTAGTGTCCATATGGGTCCACACCACTGGGCGAGGCCTGACAAGAACACGCAAAAGCCTGTGTGGAAAGTGGTAATAAAATCCATGGGCTTGAGTGATAGTGAATCCTCCTGCTTTCTACCTTCCTTTTTGCCTCCTTCATTTGTTCCTTCCTTCCTTGATTATTTGAGTCCCTGCCACATGCTAGGCACTCTTCTGGGCTCCGAGGATGACACGAACCTGTGTCTCCAAGAGGCTTACAGGCTGGTAACGAACCGGCCCGGTGGCAAAGTCAATGTTGAATCTGTTTAGGATATCCCATGGACGGTGAGGGCGGGGGCGTGGTGGGGAGCAGCACAGGGCACTAAGGGATTCTGTGTCTGGCCGGGATTATCTCAAAGACCCTGAAAGAGAGGCTGAAACCAGAAGCAGAGATAGTTCCGGAACACGGACACTACTTGCTTCATACTATGAACCAAAGAAACAAAAGCCCACAGAATGGTCAGGATGAGTGATGTCAGAAGCAACATCAAAACACCAGGGCTCGTGTTTTCACTTTCCTCTAACTAGATCAGGAGCCTTGAGTGAGTTCCTCTACGTTTTCAACGGTTTCCTTCTTTGCAAAAGAAGCATTAACGCCATCGACTTTGTAGAGGACAGTTATGAGGATGACAAGGGATAGAATGTATGGAAAGACTTGGTGAATTACAAGAAAAATAGACCATATTATCATCAGAAAGTGTAAGACAGGTCACGCAGAGTCAAAGCTGGGAACAGAAAAGGTCAAGAGACGTGCTAACCACTCCTATTAGGTCCAATTACAGGGAATTTGAGAAACAAGAGATTCACTTTTTTTCCATTTCTCATCTTCTCCTCCTTCTCCAACATTAACCATATAATATCTACTAGGAAAGCATCTCAATTTAAGAAAATGTGGTATATGAAACATTTATACTTACAAAATAAATAGTTTCTTTCCAAAGGAACTCCTTTAAGTGACAAGTTTACATGGTGAGACAAAATCCAGTGATTTACTAAGAGCTGTTTTGTACGCAACTTATAAAGTACAACTGTGCCCCTCTCTCTCCCTCTCTCTTTATGTATACATATACATATACATATACATATACATATACATATACATATATATACACACACACATACACACACACATAAGTATATATATATTGATCGGTATATATATGTGTATATATATATATATATATACACATGTGTGTGTGTGTGTGTGTGTGTGTGTGTATATATATATATCAATCGGTATTTTACCAAGTTTTAAAGCTTCAAAGGCACCTAGGATATGGCTATTAGGAAAAAGAGCATGTGTGTTAGAATATTACAATTCTGTATTATAACATGGAACTGATGTCTATCGTCTCATGAAACAGAAGGCCAGTATCGTAGCGGTGTCATTATTCCTTAAACAGCCTACGGCAAACCAGGCTAGACTCAAGACACCTCATGAAAATGTCGGGGTCGTCAAACACTGCTTTGTTACTCAAAAACGCTGCTCTCCAGTTAGGGATATCGCGCTTAGACATTCCATTTTGAGAAAGTTCTTTGTCCATTATCATATTCCTGCCAAATTTCAGTAGCAAGGCCTCATTTCTGATTTGAGGTTGAGGTCCACACCGGGCCATGTACACTGTAGGTCCATGCCGGGCCATGTATATTGCAGGACAGCAACTGGTCCCTCAGACCTTGGCAACTAACAGCCTTCATATCCCTACGGCTTACATCACTACTTTGTTCCCAGGTTATAACGCATACAGTTTAATGGTCTCTTACTCAAGAGGCAAGACGAAATCATTATTTGTGATTTATTATTTTCTCAACAGAGGCATAGCCACCTTCAGATAACCTCTGCACTAACCTCATAAAGAAGCAAGTGTTCCAGGAAGCTCGTGGAGGGATATTTTGCAAACCTGTGCACAGGGCCCCAGACAATTTAAAATACTGATAGGCTCTGAGCTCTTTCAGTGAGTCTATGACATAATCCTGCGTCCGTATTTCCAGTTATAATCTGCTTCTTTTTTTTATAAAAGGGTTATTTTTCTCCCTTCTGATGAGAAAGAAAGAAAAACAAATGCTTTTTATAAGATATGTCCAGTGAAAACCTATGTTTTGCTAGCTTCCTGGAGAGGCTGGCTGGCAGAGAGAAACAGAAAATAAAGGAAAAAAGCCGAATCCCTCCACAAACTGACTCAGCCCTTCACGGCCAGTGTTGTCATTATTGTTTTTTGTCTTCCCTTTTCAGCTGCCAGGGATTAAGAGGAAAGAAAATCAAAGGGCAAGAAAGTTTGGCAGAGAAAGTTAGTATCTGGCGCTGTGATACTTTGGAGGTGCAGCAGCTTCAGCTCCTTCCATGGCCCTCGCTCCAGAAAAACAAAGAGAAATTTGGGATACGCCATTGTGCCTCTACAGCAACGCCTTTGCGGGAAAGGTGAGGTTTTCCTACAGCAGAGCCGTGAGCAGGTTGGCCCAGGAACATTCCCGTCAACAAGAGTTCCTTTGACAGAGTAAGATGGCAGAAGAAATGTCTGCAAGTAATTCATTTTTTTCATATTTATTCATTTTTGAGAGAGAGAGAGAGAGAGAGAGCGCGAGTGAGCGGAGGAGGGGCGGAAAGAGGCTGGGGCCAGAGGATCCAAAGCGGGTTCTGTGCTGATAGCAGTGAGTCCCATACAGGGCTCAAACTCACGAACTGTGAGGTCATGACCAGAGCCGAAATCAAGACCCGGATGCTTAACAGACTGAGCCACCCAGGCGCCCTTCAGTTGGTTATTCTTAAATAAACACGTGAATAAAGCCAACCACTTAAGTTTCTGAGACCATCTACCTGAAGAGCTAATGCGACGGTGGGCAGATTGCCCAAGCATTACTGTGTGCTTACAGCAACTGTTCAGCAAACACCATTTATTATAATTTCACCATGGGGCGCCCGGGTGACTCAGTTATTAAGCATCTGACTTTGGCTCAGGTCATAACCCACAGTCTGTGAGTTCAGGCCCAGCGTCAGGCTCTGTGCCGACAGCTCCGAGCCTGGAGCCTGCTTCGGATTCTGTGTCTCCCCCTCTCTCTGCCCCTCCCCTGTTCACACTGTCTCTCTCTCTCTCAAAAACAAATAAACATTAAAAAAATTTATAATTTCACTATCTTTTTTTATTGATGCCTCTCTGAGCTACTAAACTGTGGGCAGTTTTGTACCGTTTTTGAAGAACTGTAAAGTAGCGTACAAAGAGCTCACTGTTACAGAGTAACTATAGTCCACAACACTGTGACGAATGGTTTAAGTAATTAAAGTATATCTCATAGAAAATGTACAATAACCCTCTGAAATAAATATCATTCTGTCTGTTTTACTAATGAAGACACTGAGGCTGCAGACTTTAAACAACTTTCCTAAGATCTCACAGCTGGAAGGTGCTAGAACCATGACAGAATAATTTATGTATGGCTAAATCACTGTTATCTGTAATGGGATTCGAAACTCCATTTCCCCCTGATTTAAGGTATTTTCTTTATTCCATTAGTCTTTGCTGAGTTTCTTCAATATCCAAGGCATTGTTTTTCTTATATGCCACTGGCTGTTATTTCAAAGACCAAGTGACTTTTCGCTTAATAAAGAAGTATAATTGCCTGCAGTATTTCCCTGCAGTCTTGCTATAATTCAGTATCCAAGTATTTGGCAAGAATCATGTTTGCCTCTTGAGCCTCAGATTAATTACGAACTTCTTTTCTTTTCCTTCTAGTTAAATCCCTTGTCCTTCAAAACTCTAATTTTTTTTAATAATCAAAATATTTTGTTACAATGCTGTAGAACCAGGTTTGTGGTCATTTGTGTGTGCTATTTAAAAAGAACCTTGAAATGATTATAAAAATCTCTAATATTGCATCTAATTAATTTTCATAAATCAAAATTCCTTTAAAAAATATTATTACTTCCAACGGGCCCTAAACATCGAGCGCATTTAGACAGATTCCCCTTTCCTCCACATTCCTAGACCATCACGCCAGTTAGGTATAAAAGTATTTTTTCAGGACTTAATATTCTCTATACAGGAGATAGTCTCTCCAACCCAAATCACTCTTAGTTTGTTGCTTTCTTTGAGTGACTGTAAGTAGCCATAAAACTTGGCTTCTAGACTAGATTTTACCAGATGAGCAATTTCATCATAATGGCGGAATGGAGAGAACAAAGCTCACATTTTTGTTTAGCGTCCTTTTTCTTCTTGGACAGTCACTATGAAGAAATATTCATTCCTTCCCAGACTCAACAGCTGTGTGATCCTGTGGGTTTGAACTCTGAAGGAACTAGCACTTTTTCCTTTTCCTAATTCCCCATTCCGGATAGAGAGAGAAGTCAGACCCAAAGCTTCCAAATTCAGAAATTCATTTGGTGCTCCACACTGTGCTGAACGTTCTGTATTACTTGCCCTTGATGGATGATAGGAATCATCATTACTCTAGTGAATGAGGTGGTGTGGAAAACAGACGGAGCTCATCAGTCTCCTCAGTAGATCATCAGAGATGTGTTTGGTTGTTACGAAGGGGTTCCGTTCCCCCCAGACTCACAACTTACGTGCTCCTTACTGACTGCCGCTGTGGTGTGTTGGGAACTCTTTAGAATAGCTTCCTCCCACGCTTTGGTAGCAGTTGACTCTACCAACTGACAAGGAATTGCGTGGCATTATGAGGGCGCAGAGGCTCCGCGGGCCTTAACTTCCATGGCTCTCACCGTCCGTCTTCATTTAAACCAAGCTGCACACTTGATGACTGAGACTAAGCCAGCGTTTCCATTTAAGAGCATGAATGGCACTTCGGTATCACGTTTCAGTTTGTTTGTCCTCTGCCCATAGTTTAAGACTCTCAGCCTTCTGGAAAGAGTGGCTGTGTTTCTGAATGTTTCTATTTTGCTCAGTAGGTAATGGTGGCATGGAAATTTTAGCTGCCCTCACGGAGACAGGATGGCTGCCTGCCACTTCCCATGCTTGCCCACATTCCTGACGCGCCCAAAATGTTTACCGTTGTTGTGATCCTTAGGAAAGAATGCTGAAAGGTTGCTCAGTTGTGACTCATTTTATGAGGGGGTTAGGTTCCCTGAAGATGAATGTGACCTACATCCTATTTTAAACAAGCAGACACCGTTTATTTGTAAACACCATTTTATCCTTTCTTTAAAGAAAAATTCCTCTGAAAGTCCACCTTCTGAAACTTCATAAAAGTAGGGCTGTCCCGTTTAGAAGAAGGGGCCCCCCCGGGAACCCTGTCCCTGCACGCTGACACAGCCTCTCCATCCCACAGGCTCTTCTGGAAAACTCCTAAATCTACTTAGAGGGCAGATTTTTTTTTTTTTTTTAATCTGTCCCACAGTAACTGATGGAGAATTAGAAGATTCAGAAAAAAAATCATTCTAATAGATGTCCCCAAACCTAAATTTCACAGAGTGGACTGGTTTAATCACAGGCCACCTGGAAGGGTTGGCAATTTAATAATTTATGAGACTCTCCTTCCCTAATCTGCTATCCGGTGGGCATCTGCAGTCTTAAAAGCCAACGGTCTCCTTTGTAGCATTGCTGAGAAAAGGCTGGAAAGAATGAATGATTTGTTCTTCATGCAGCTGGTAGAGAAGAAATGCCAAAAGTTCTACGGACTCCATAAGGAAACTCTTCTTTAAAAAAAAAAAAAACAACTTTGTGAGCATGGTTTCAAATGAAGAGGCTTTCCAAATACCCCACCTGCTCTCAATGCCATGGTTCATCTATCACTGGGGACAAACCTTCCTGTCTTCTCCCTAGGTTGGAAAATGAGCTTAATGTGCTAAATTGTTGCCGGAATCCACAGAACCACCAGAGAACCACTCCGAAGACGCGTCCTGCTGATTCCACGAGGAGGAGGTATTTTGTCTTCTCTGAGATGGAGTTTGCGAAGTACACATAGGGACGTATTAACTCATTACACCAAGGATTCTATAAAATACTTCCGGTGGTAATTATTTCCATCCTTAGGGAACGGCTCTTTTTTGTGTAGCCTGACTCCAGTCAAGGCAGCAGAAAGCTCTTACCAGAACTATTGTGGCTGTCTGATTCGAGAAGACGTGCCTTTACTGTTCACACTGGCACCAACCGCCCCTCTATGGATCCTTATCTAACATTTACCCATCAAGCTTTGCCCCAGATGAACCAGGCTTGCTTAGTTCCACATTCTAAACGTCCTCTCTGCGCTTATCTCCAGCTTGGTGTCATCGCCACTCGTGCATAACGAGATGCGGTCTGCCTCTGAAATTGACTCTCAAGCCCCACCTTCTTGATGAAGGGCCTGATACTCTCAGGGCACTTCCTTAGAAAACACTCATTACGGAACTGAACCGTTTTTATCTTAGCACCGTATGGATTTCTACTTACTTGCTGTTTGACTGTTATATATGTGCCGTTTGGCCCCACATCACCGAGTCTCCTTTGGCTCATAAGGGAAGTCATGCCGCACATGTGGTAAATATATAAATCTCTCTGTAGGTGCACGTACATAATATACAGACACATGTATTCATCTATGTGCGTGTAGCAAGGACACTGGGCCGGAAATAGGCGTCCAAGTACTTATCGAACTGATTTAAATTCACACCTGTATCACTTATGCCAATTAACAAGAAAAAACTTACTTCATTAACTTACTATCTTCTAAAAGACAGAGTAAATTCAAAGACAGAAGGTCCAGACCTACTTTTTATTCTTCAACTGTCCTTATTATATAAAAACTATAGAACTGGTTATAACAATGCCTCCTATCAATATGTGCAAAATTCATTTTGAAATTTTTTACTAAAATACCTGTTATTTTTCAAAAGCCTTAGTGGATAAATAATAAACATACTTATTCTTGCCTAAAAACACATTCTTTTTTTTATTTAAAAAAAAAATTTTTTTTAACATTTATTTTTGAGACAGAGAGTGAGCATGAACTGGGGAGGGGCAGAGAGAGAGGGAGACACAGAATCTGAAACAGGCTCCAGGCTCTGAGCTGTCAGCACAGAGCCTGACACGGGGCTCGAACTCACGGACCGTGAGATCATGACCTGAGCTGAAGTCGGATGCTTAACCGACCAAGCCACCCAGGCGCCCCAAAAACACATTCTTTTAACAATAAAACTTCGGGCTTTTAGGTAAAAATTTAGGCAAGACACATGTGAGTCAGAAATAATAATAATAATAATAATAATAATAATAATAATAATAATAATAATAGACTGAAAGATGAAACAGTGAATGGGGGAGTGAAATTGGGGAATTTGGATGGTTTTGAGCATTAAAAATAAGGATACATGCACGATTATGGGAGACAAAATGCGTGCTGTTAGTACAACTTTATGTAACTGACATGTCCCAGGCAGAACTATTCTTATCCCTACGCTCTTGCCTCTTTGCTCCCCAAGCTCTTCTTTAGCCTTGTAAAATAGCACATCCCACATTTTTAAACTACTCGGTTATCAATCTGTCTCCCAGTAGACTACACACACCTTTAGGAAAGGGACCGTGGTGCGTTCGTACAGTTTGTCCTTAATGCCTAGCCCAGTAAACACGGTAAGTAATAAAGGAGCAAGTCATCGAATGACCGAAGGAAGGGAGAGGGAAACAAAAGGTACGAGAAGAATATTCCTAGGAAAACCAACCCCTCGCGAAGTTATGAGTAGGCCAAGTTCTTTAATTCCAAAATTCCATTCATTTCTCCAAATACAGAGGAAGAGCAAAGATACTAACATTAAAAACACGACACTCTTTGTGAACCTGGAACTTTGTTCCCAGATTCCGTTTTTAATTCACAGTATTATAATGGTCTCTTCCCAGAAAAGTGCTCTGACATTTCCAAAAAATAGTAGAGCTTGGGCAAAATGAAAATTGCTTCAAATTTTTTTGTAGCACTTTTGATTATAATGCCGTGTCTTTTGTCACAGATAACAGTTCTATTGATTCAAGTTATTCTTACCTGGAGCTCCATCTAAGTATAGAAAATGTGCCCAAAGCTGTCACATCTTCACGGTATTTTTACACCTTTATATAACGCACACCATGAAAGAAGTCATCCTACAGATTTGCCTCTTGAAATTTTTCACTGCTGAGATTCTGAGGAAGTTCCTAACATAACTAACCCCACACACAATCCACACGGCAGCACCGAAAACTACATAGAATAAGTTGCTCCTTGAGTACAGGTAAGATGAACATTACTGCTACTGGAGTTGTTGGCATCTGACATATAGTTAAATTCCTAAAGCTGTTTTTAAACCTAGGATGGACTTTTTGATGGAGGAAAACATGACATTACATTGCATAAAATTCTAGCTGCTTTTCCTACCCAGCTGACGTTGTTCTCCAAGATTCCCGGCACTTTTACCATTTGGCCTTTGGTGGCACATGGACACTGGAGCCTATTTTCAACAATATATACGTCAAAAAAAAAAAAAGGGGGGGTTGCATGCTTAATGGTCACCCTAAAACCAAATTCACAAAATCATAAGAACACAAAGCAGTCCCTGAAGAGTCTGCATGTCATGAGACTGTGTTCCAAGCAGCCTCACAGGGAGACATTACTTTGGTGAATTTTTCCACAGTGCAAAATCCGGTCCATGGCTTTGCACCCTCAGCAGCCCGATCTATCAGCAAAGTGGGAGGAAATGCACACGCCGGAGGCGGGCTTAGAACTCAAAGAGCACAAAACGCTAAAGACTGCTGTCAAGATCCAAATATGTTAATTTACAACAAGAAGCAGAGTGTCAGAGCACAACACCCGTGGGGGCAAGCCAGCTCATTCTCTTTCTGTAGACACACCTCCCGGAAGAGCCAGATCATAATGGCAAGGTCACTTGGTGATGAAAAAATGGAACAGAAGTCTTACGTAACTCAAATGGAAGGCCAGGATTCAGATTCCAGTTCCACCACTTCCTGATTTACCCTGATGTCTCACAGGAGGGAGCAGTGACCCCGCAGACTCACCTAGCAGCGAGGGGTCCACCCCCCACCCCCCACCCCCCACCCCTGCAGTGGCTTTGGCTGGGAACTGCAGGCTCACCTCCGTGGCTCATCAGTCCCTCTGCTGAATGACAGACGTTTCCTTTAGATGTGTCCATGTCTAACTCTGGGAGACAAACAGTTACCCTAAAGGAACCTCTGCCCTCTCTGCCAGTGCCATTTAAAGGTGTCATCGGATTCGTTTCTTTTTTCTTCTTCTTATTTATTTGTATCATCATTCTTCTTTTCTGTTCACGCCACCACCACCAGGCAAGTCTGGCCCCACATCTCCCCAAGGCAGGAGCCTAACTGGCTTACGTCCCTCAAGCCTGTCTCATTGTCCAACTCCAAAGATCGCTACTACATGCACACGTACTTCAGGTTAAGGTTCTATACATGTGTTTTCCCATTTCC